TAAGTCTTAATAATAGTGTTCTACATCATTTAGTTCGCATACTTCACCAAAAACAATGAAGTCGTTTATAAATCTTGCAGCATAGTGCTTTTGACAAATGGTCGTTAACATGGCCTCATCGTTACCCACAAAGGATGCGCGCAATTAGTCTATAAAACCTGATTAGCTTAAGTTAACATACCTCGCGCATAGTGTTGATATTCCGTTCGTACTCCCTACCTTTTATAACAATCTTAAGCTGAGTCAATAAGGTGTTTGTCAAGTTCCTGTCTCCGGACACAGAATCTCATACTTTTAAAATTTTATCCGATTTGACCGTTTTCCCTTTTTATAACCATAAGAGTTGCTGTCGAAGATGGTAGGGGAAAATCTGAAAATCTTCGATAGCCTTTTCATATTGCTTGAAGCATATCCGATAGTTTATCACAATTTTTAAATTAAAAGGATATATAAAAATAAATTGAAAATTTTATATAATAAATGAATATGTGTTAAAATTATGTAAAATAACTAAGTAACGCATATTTGCGAGGTATATTAAAATATGAGTACATGCGTGTTAAAAGATATAAAGTTATTTAAACCTTTACTTGCTGGAATATAAGCCTTCGCTATTAGGGTATTTAAACCTTTATTGACCTGTGTCTAAACCTTTAAACCCTTTAAAAATTAATTGTAAACAAATGTATATATATATATATAGAGAGAGAGAGAGAGATGTACAGACGTGTCTAAAACAAAAAAAGCACTAAAAAATTAACCCGACTGCCAGTTTATTTTTCGTGAACCTTTATTATTTACTAACCACTAAGCAATGAAATAATCAATAATAATCATTAAATTGCCCAAAATGGTAATTTGCGTTAAAACATGAACTGGGATCTTTTTCTCAACATTCGCAATCTATTTAACCTTCAAGCCCTATTAAGAGTACAGATTATACCGAAGCGCAAAAGTAATGGCACAATCAAAAGGCACAGGAAAAAATGAACGTGACTCTTTATATTGTAAAAGAGATTAATTTTATATACAAAAATAATTAAAAAAAGAATCTAAATTATAGATGAATATTGTCTAATTATGGCAATTTGCGCTAATTCCTGTGAGCTAGGTTTATCCTAACAAAGGATACAGCTTTGTTGACCAGTTTGTAATCTGTACTTGTACCCTTTACGAAATGACAAAATTATTTCATATGTGAGCGTAGTCTATTTTTATTAAACAAAAAATAATTTCATTGTTTATTTAATAAAATGGAAGCTTATGTTAGTAAAATTTTTTTTCTAATTTGGTTTGTTTAAATATTAAAAATTTGTTACAAAAAACGCAAACTAGAGCACAAAAAATACAATCAAAAATTGCCAAATTTAGAACAGCAAGCAGCAAGGGAGACTACTGGTTGAGAAAAATTGTTTTTTTATAAAATCTGTTAGTTTCTAAATTCCCGTTTCGCGTAGTTCTTATTTGACTATAGCATCATCTAAAATATAAATAATAAGAGGGAAGGTAGGATTAGAACTTTTTTACTTTTCTACGTTCGGTAAATTTTAATTTCTTAAGTCGTTTCAAGGTTTTATACACCGCTCACATGCGCGCTCATTACAACATTATGAATAGGTTATACTTGGCTCTTACATGTTAAGTGTACGCAACCTTTATATCTAACTTTTGATTGGGTTTGCACATTCATCCCTAATTCCTCATCAGAACTCTTTTAACTGAAAATGCACAGTTAACAACCCAAAAAATTTTTAATTAAAATTTTACAAGAACGAAAAAACTCATTGACTGGGATCTCGGAGTTTATTAGCCGGCAAGTAAATCAGTTATTTTAGCAATTTGTTCCACTTTAATTTCAGGTAACTATAACAGCTGTTTTGCATTGGTTAATATTCTTAACTGTGATTGGATAACATTCGGATCAGTTCTTAAATTGAAAAATTTATTGTGGTTTATAATTTATTTTATTTTTAGCTTTTTTTTTTGTTTTGTGTAATTTTGTATGTTATAATTTTTAGCTTTTAAGCGTTTTGTTTTGGTTTTTCAGGTTCTTTATTTTTCGTTCATATTTTTGTATTTGTTTTCTATATTTTTGTTAAAAAAATGTTTAAATGATGACCGGGTTATCGCTTTAAAGTTGTCTAATTAAATGGCACCGAATATATAATTAACAACTACAATAAAAAATATTTTTATGTTTAGGAATTTGATACATAAATAAATAATACTTTGCTTAGATGTAATAATTTTGAACATAGAGACATTTTTTTGTTTATATCAATCCAAAAGAATTTAATCGCATTCATATAATCTACTTAGATATATACATAAGGCAGATACTAACTTTCAATAACACAATCTTTTTTCTTCCTATTCTTGTTTTTTTTTTTTCAGTTTTCGTTTTAATCGTGTTTGTTTATATAAATCTCTTTTCTTATTTTTAATTATCTTTGATACTTTATTATATTACACTAAGTGACTCGATTGCGTATATACAGGCCTTAACAAAGTATTATCAAATGAAATAGTTGGAGTGATAACTTCGACGATGGGGTAGTAAAGAAGATATGCCGAGGAGAAAGTTCTAACAAAAAACAACCCGGCACTTGGGAATTTTTTAACTTCACCTGAAACACGAAATCTAACGAAAAAACACTACGAGCTTTAGCATTATACTCCAGGGATAATATGGCTATTACTTTTACAAAAATTCTTCCTATACAAAGTCAAAGAAAGACCCTTGGTTTACTACACATCACAAAAGGCACATCATAAATTAAAGTTATATTATAAAATACAAGTATTTTAATATATACCCAAACAACTTACACCACTAAAATAAACCACAAAGGAGACCAATTAAAACACCTTGAACTAATAAGTATAAATATACGCAATTTTAAACAATGGCAGGGGCTATGTTAACCATTTTATTATATACAAATATGGTAATTACATTTACATTTATTAAGTGTAATCGAATTAACCATGTTCATTTAACAAAATCTCAATTTAATCTAAACCAATATACATAAATAAAAATGCTTTTTTTAAAGTATATAAACAGCTAGACTGCCTATATGAAAATAAACCTTCCGACCTTTTTCTCGCCCTTTTCATTGTTGGTGTTAATAGAATTTATTAGAAATAGAAAAATGTATATTAAAAAGTATATTAACTGTAAGAGTTAATTTAAAGTATATTTTAATGTGTATAATTAAGCAAAACAATGTACCTTATAAAATAAACATGAATTATAAATCATAAAGAAAATAAAATTAAAGCAAGGAAGAATTACTTTACGATCAGGATTTATACCTTTACAACAAGTCAAAAAATGTTATTTATATTTGTATAACAATTTAATTGTACTATTTAGTTTTTATATCTCTTGTAGGCTTTGTTCCCAATTAACAAAGTAGTTCAGTTTAATTTTATGTAGTAAAAAATTAATTACCTCAGTTTTTTTTTTGACTGGCCCAGGTAGTTGATTAGTTTACTTAATTGCATTTTTTCCTGGGTAAAACTTGCGGTATTGGTTTGTAATGTCCAAATTGTGTTTTAAAAGTTTGTATTTCTTTCTTGTATTTTAGGAATGGAGGGCCCCATGTGTTTATATGATGTAGAGTATGCATGAGCAACCCTATTTTTTTTTATCCTCTTGTTTTTATGTTTCGTAAGGTTGGTTTATTGCTCCTAGAGAGCCAGTATTATCGATTAAATTTCTACAGTGCTCAAGTTCTTCAACTACATATCATATCACATTAAAGTATATAAGTGTATCTTATAATTATATAAAACATATTGTTTAGGGTAGCTATGCTCTCGAGGGCCCCCGACCTGTAAAATTAACACATTAGAATTAGGTCCTAATATGGGCTTTGTGTTCACGGCGAGGTTAAATACGAGCCCTCTAGGACCTTAATAGAGTTGCGTCAATAGAAAATTGCACCCCGACCTTGAGTTTGCACGTCAACTCCTTTAGCCGCAGCTACCATGGCCACCTCGATCCACTAATAGCTCTACGTATCTAACTTGTTACACTAGTCTTGTTCAAAGAGTAAAGCTATATTATCAAACTTCCTGATATATAGTTGTCAAGTCATCTCTCATGTCATGAAAGGACCTAGTTTGCTTTATATAAGCATTCGAAAAGACGAAAGTCGAGAAGACCAGAATATTTATATATTTTTATCTGTTTCTTCCTATGGCTCATCTACACCCTCGTTGCCGTTTAGTGTTAAAAACCTTTTGACTACCGTAACAATTTATCTGGACTTGGTCCGTGGTTTGTAGACTTTTTTAGAATAATTTTCCGGGTGCTTATAATGGTTAGTATTTTTAAATCTATTGTAAATTGAGGTTTTATTTGATAGCTATTACTTTGCTCGGAGGACAAGTCAAGGGTGTGGCCAACAATATCCATGTTAGGCATTAACATATTAATCACAACAAATATATGCAAAATAACTGTGCCCTCGTAATTTTGAATTTTACAATATTTTTAATTCTGCACCACACATTTGGTAAAACAGTACTACAAAAAGGGTCGGACGGTGTAAAATTTTAGATAAGCCAACTGGAAAGAGGTTCATAAAACGACCTTTGCACATAGTGTTTAGGTAGTAGGTTTCGCAAAAAATGAAGACGTTTACAAACCGCGAATTTTACACTTTTTTAAAAGCACTAAGCGTAGCCTTGTATTAAATAGCTGTACAAAATATTAATAGATAAAACTGAATGATATGAACTCCGTCAAAAATTATTTACATTTGTATATATAATTGTTTCTGATAAACTATTTTTTTTAAAAAACTTAAAATCTCCGCTTTAGTTTTCAATAAGTTTAGTTATAATCTTAGTAAGAGGTAAACTGTCTGCTAACTTCTATTCAGAACCCCCTTTTGTAGTTTTAAATAGCTTGTGCGAAGGTAGGTCCAAGGTCAATAAACGAACCAACTATCTTACGTTATCTAATCTCATCATGCATCTTTCATGACTCCAGTTTTTTCTATAGTCAACCTAACTCTCATTAGTATCCGTCATACTCTCAAGTTAACACATGAAATCGTGTTCATTATAACAAGGTTAGCCGTAACCTATTTACTTCACAATACGAACTTTATGGCAAGTCGTCTTAGAAGTTATTTAACAGAACAACTGGCCCCGTTTACAGAACCTCCTTATGTAGTGGCATTAACCATTTTTATCCGTATTCTATTCTATTTAGTTATAAAAAAAATTGTTTCTAACAGTCCTTCTTTATAAATTACTTAATTAAACTTAAATATAAATAGGATCAACGTGGTGATGAAGAAATCGTTCTGGAGGCTGAAGAATTAAAAACGGAGCCGATTTTTATTAGTATTATTTTGCTTTCTTACATTATTATTAAAAAAATTCTAAATCTTTACATACGTGTATATATAATTTTTGAATATTATTTAGAAAGTTCTGGTAAAACTTTGGCGGAAACTCTTTGGGAACTATTATTTGATAAATCTCATTCCCCCTCTCCTGTAACTATGACATTGACATCCTTATATTTAGTAACCCTTTCAACCTAATGTTAAAAAGGATTCTTCTTTAAAAGGACTTGCTTGGATTTTCCAAAGCGTTGAAGATGAATCCGATGGTCTACTTTTTTCATGACAAAAAATATATATACACACTTTGTAAATTATTATCTTGGAGTTAATTAGCAACTATTTTTTAACTTTTTTTTGTCTTCATATTTTACTTTTGCTACCTAAAAAGCTATGTGCCCTTATTTACTAAAAGGCTAAATAATAGTTATTATGCATTGTATGAAGTATTAATCTTGCTCCTCTTTTATAGTTCCACTTTTTAATTACATAACAGGCATCTATAACAAATTTTTATTCTTAAAATTACTTTTAGATGAATATACTGATAATTTCTATTCCAAAACTATTATAAAAATGTTTTAATTAACTTTATGGTTTATTTAATTAACTTTGCTATAAATTAAATATCTTTATTTGAAAGTGGTATGGTTGTTGTAGTTAGCAAGTAGCCTTTTCTTAACTCTACCAAATTTTTGCCTTTTTTAAAATAAACCATTAAAAGATTTAAAAAATCATCCTTAATGCTATACAATTATTGAGGCTAGTTGCAGTTTTGTTATTTGTTATTTTTATTATACTAATTATAACTATTGATATGTTTATTAAAAATTATAATTTAACTAATTCCGTTCCACTGACTATTATCCCTTTTTTTTTTTTCTATTAATTATTTTATACTACTAATTATTTTATTATTTTATTGAACTATAATTTTGTTAATCCCCATCTAAAATATTTACTCTGGTTTTTATTTTTATTTTTACTTTTTTTTAATTATTATTATTATTAGAGGGTTATATACCCGAACGCAAAATTCATAGAGAAAGGAGAATTACCATTACTCAAGGTTGCCATCTATATTTTACTCTCTGTTTCATATTGCATTTATTTATAAGATGAAGTGCATTTATTGATGTAAACTTAGGTAAAATATTAAATTTTTCTTAGATCTCTTAATTTCTAAATTTTTTTAGCTATTTTTATTTTTTATTCTTTTATTATTGGGTATTTAAATTATATATATTATTTTTTTATTAGTATATAATTATATAGAAAAGTCTTATTATCAATTTATTTATAAGAATTTTATTTTATATTGAATGTTATTATTTATAAAAGTTTTTATTAATATTATTTAAATATCTTTATCACATTATAACTGTTATTATTTTTGATAAGTTATTATTTTAATAATAATTATTAGTATAATAATTTATTTTATTTGTTGAAAAAAATTATTTATCTCTTATATTTTAATAATATTATCTTATTCTTTATGTTGTAAGATCAAATTTGCAGTTATATTATTTTTGCTAATTACAATTTTTTCTTACGGCATATATACTTTAATATCTATATATATAAAAATATTTATTAAATTACTATTAATAAGAATTTCATTAATTTTTTTGCCCATTTCTTGGTTAGGCCAGCAGTTTATCTCCGGAGAAATGCCATTTGTTTCCAAACGAATACTGCAGATCCATTTAGCCATCGCTAAGCACGTGTTCGGTGTCAGGTGGTCTGCCAATAACATTTTTATATTGTTTATCTGTCTATTTTATAATTGTTTTTAAAAGTATATAAGAGTGTTCATTTTTTGTTTTTAGTTTATATAACTATTTTGTTTGCAAAAGAACTTTTCTTAAAAGTTCTGCTGCAACACGATTTTTCGTTGCACGTTTAGAATAAAGTGTAGCCTCCACGTGAGTAATACTAGGCTTTTTTGGTGCTGCCTTTTCTTTTGTTAAATTTCGTTATGAAGTCGTTCCTTAGACAACATGTGAGTAAAACAAATTACCAAAAAAGCAAAATTGCTGCCAAATTAATATAATGAACCCAATACCAAACTAGTTCAAAATGCTGTCATTTCTCTCTTTTATACCCTTTTAAGCTTCTACGTCAACTTTTATTTTTTTAATGTTATAGTTTTTTTAGCTTTTAAGTTTTAAACTTTATTATAGTTAAATTTAACTTCACTTACTTATATTATTCAGCGTTTATTTAATTTGTTTATTTATTAACAGTTATTTCGTATTTATTACATATACATCTTAACTTTTGCTATTATAATTCATTTAACATAAAGTTAAGCATTAATTAAATTTTTAAGTCTGCACGTTTTTAATAACAACTTATTAAACTTTTTTTTAAAGTTTTCTGGTTATTCGAAATTTTTAATGATGCACAATATCATATAACTCTTTTTTAAAAATATTTTTAATAAAATTATGTACTTTTTATCATAAGTTAAGGTTATATTTATGAATATTGTAAACTTCATACTTATAATATATAAAATAGAAAATACACTTAAAAATCAATAAATTAATATAATATTTAATGATTTATAATAGGAAATATTCACAACAAAAATTCTATTCTGTAGTTTAAGCGATTCTTCTTATAATTTTTTATAATTCAACAGTTTCTTCTATTTTAAAACTTTATGAATTTTATCCATTCATGAGTTCCTCATAACTTTCTTATAAACTTTAAAAAAGTTATCAAAAAATATTTTATTGTATTTCTTAGATTTCCATAAAATTCATAATTTATTAACTGTTATAGGTATTTTTATTTGTTACTTATGTTTTATTTTGATTATGGTAATATTAACTTTTGTAGTAGTTGGCAAAGTTTTAGCGGATTTTCATGTTCTTCACATTGTTGGTATTAAAAAGTTGTAAAGTTTAGCTATTTATTAAGTTCTGCTTGGTACATATGATTATCAGCCTCAATAACTTTTTTTACTCCAACTTTTCTTGAAATATATAATCTTATAATAATACATATGGAGCAATGCTGGCAACGTTAACTTATCATTATTTTTATAGATCTGCAAGGTTTGAGCGGTTTTTTGAGTTCTGCTCGGGTGATCATCACATGTTATGGTATTCACACCATTTCTTCACTTATTTATTCATATCATTATTATACTATATTATTATTTTATTATAAGTTATATTCAGTACTAGTTTGAAATTTACTTTTATAAGTAATACTATTATTGTAACTACTTTCCTTGTTTAACAAAAATTATTATAGACATGTTTGCTTTTAAACTTTTTGTTTAATAAAAGTTTAAGTATATTTTTTTTAAAATACAATTTATCAAATTTTCATTAATTAAAGATTGTTTGTATAATATTTCTTATAACTTTTTACTTTCTTCTCATTTTTATCAATAACATATATTAATATTTTTCTTTTCTTGAACTTTCGTTGTCCATTTAACATTAATATTTCAAATTTATTACTTTAATCTATAAACTTTTTGGCTTGCATGGGATTGTTGTTTTTATTTCTACATTTAATTAATTAATTATTTATTATAAGTTTCAATTAAATAATAAAGAAGTTTTTATAAAATTATTATGCTATTTATTAATTTGGTTTTATAAAATAATATCGATTAACACTAGTTTTATATATTTTTTATATTCTTTTTTTTTTTTTTAGATTCTCTCTGTAACTTGGTTTTATTATTTTCTTCACTATAACGTTTTTTTTACTTCGAACTTTTTAAAAATTATTTTTTTAAGGATAACTACTTTATTATTGATAATTAATATTTTAATAATATTTCACTATTTATTTTTATTTACATTTTAGTGTACTATTGAAAATTGCTTTTTTTCTTTTTTATAATCAGATTATAAATTTTATTATAATTTCTATTAATTTTTTTATAAGGTAAATCTATTACTATTTTTTGAAATATAATTTTTTATTTACTTTTTAAGTTACTATTAAATATTTTTGTTTTTACAGGCATCAAAAAGTACTTCGAATTCTCGCAGCGTTGAATCCGTGGCTCATCGAACCCGCAAAACTTTATGTGAATTGGTGGCTGGTTGTCAAATTTATTATATTGTTTATAATTGAAACTAACTATAGTAAGATGATAAAATTATGATGACAAAGTTAATATAAGCCTTTAAAAAAGTAGCAATCTATTTTAAAAATTATTACTAATCAGCAAAAGGTAAAAAACATTAATATTTTATAAGTTTAGGTAACCTTGTGCTGTATTTTCGGGTATAAGCGGAAGTAAGTTTGTTAACAAGCTTATAAATATATTTTTTTAAAAAAGGAACTAAATTAAATTATAAGAGCAAGTAAAAGAGTAATAATTATAATAATTAGTGGTAACACAGAAAAACATAAATAGTGAAGAATAACTTTAAACACAAGTTTCTAATATTTAAAGTACTTTTTGTATTTTTAACTTTTCATTCATAAACTTTTAGTTATTTATAAAGGATAAAAAAAGCATAGATAGTTTAATAATCAATATGAAAAATAATAATAGAAGTAAAGATTATTTCTGAGTATTAGTATAATATTGATATATTTTCTTTTAACTTTATCAGCAATAATTAAAATTTTATAAAACAATAACTGACACTTCTTTTATTAAGTGTTTTTCTTGTAGTAATTAGCTTTTAGTACTAATAATAAAGTTTTATTCTAATTATCTATATTTTTTTGTATTATTAATAAAACTAATAGGAAGTAAATTATAAATAACTTAAAAGAAAGTTTTTATTTCGTTTATATATTTTGTTATTAATAAAACTGAAAGAAAATTTTAATAAAGTTAAGAAAGATATGTTTATAAATTTTTTTTTATTCTAATGTGAAAAACTAAATTATAGTGGATTTTAAAGAAATCTGTTTATTTTATTACGTTTAATAAAAATAATATTGTTTCGTAATATTATAATTTTTAATAAAAAATTTTCTATATATTATAAAATGGAATAAATATAAAAAATAGTTTTTAAATTTTATAAAATGAATTATATTATAATTTTGCAAATACTTTTTCTTATTAAATAAACTCGACCAATTGAGTCGTTAATTTGACAGTTTAAAAATTTTTTAAAGTATTTTGTTTGAAAATTTATAAAATATAATTTAACTTTATTTTTTATATTTATGAATTTTCTATATATTGCTTTTTTAATTAAAAATAGTTTTAATATTCTAATTAATATAAATAAATTTTAATAAATAAAAAGAAGCGGACAATTTTTCTTAAATTAATCATCTTAATTGTAAATTTTATGGGTTGCCTTATTTATTTTATTATTATTATTAATGTAAATAATTATAAATTAAATCCATTTAATGCATTTTCTGTTATGAATATTATTATAACATATTTTTAATTTTACTTATAGTAACTTACATAACCAACTAACTTATAATCATGGGGATTATTATTTTTATAAACACTTAGTTATTAAGAAATTAAATAATAGTAATAATACTTTATTATAACACGTCGCCTGCAAATTTCCGGGGTTAACTACCAATGTGCCCTTTTTAGTAGAATTCGTTCCATTCTCAGTTGGTACCAACCTTCAAATGATACGAATCACATTTGTTGACAATTCATCCATTAGTTATCGAGATTTAAATTTTTAGTGACCTACGCTTTGTTATTTATAAAATAATGGGGAAAAAACGAATCTCGTGTGTTGATTAAGCATTTTCTTTGATGGGAATAAATAACGTCCAAGGTCAGCAATAACTTGAGATATCTTATAAGGAACCTGCTCCGTCGGCAACAGCGATTTTTTTCAGTGGTTTGCGGAGTTTAAACGGGGCCATACGGGCACAAATAAAGCAACATCAAAAATAACTCACAAAATTGTCGTTGATGATAGTAAAGTGAAGTTGCCTAAATTAGCCGACATCGCAAAGATATCAATTGGAATGTGTAAGCTATATTCGCATTACTATTTGAGCATAAGAAAACTCTGTTTGTAGTGAATTCCGCATTCGCTCGCAGTGGGCCAAAAACAAACGTGTGAGTCACCTAGAATCTATTCGGCAGTCAGCTGAGTGGAAAGCAAATGGTGGAAACCGCCTTAAGCAACCAAAGCCGCAACAGCACAAGACCTTCGTATATGGGGATGTACACGCCATAATATTGATAGACTACCTTAAAAGAGGGAAAACCATGAATAGCGAACAACACTATTGGTTCGATGGAAAGAGGAAACTACAAAAAAAACGACCCAAATGACGAAAGTGCTTTTATATCATTATAATACACCGTGTCACAAGTCGATGGTGACGATGGCAAAATTGAATGACTTTTATTCGCACCCACCGTAATCTCCAGCTCTATTCCTCAGCGACTATTATCTCTTTGCAGACCTCAAAAAATTTTTCAAGGAAAGAGATTTGAGTCAAACGATAAGTCATCGCCGAAACAGAGACCAATTTTTAAGATATAAACCAATTGCTTTATAAAAAAGGTATAGAAATGCTGGAAAAAGCTTTGGACTGATCGTATCGTCCCGGGACTCGTCAGGCGACGTGTTGAACACATTTACTGGATTATTTTTTATAAAATTTATTATCTTTAAAACGAGTTTGTTACAATTTAATTTTTTTTTATAAAAATATAATTTCTATTCGATATAATTTACAAATTATAATTTGATTACCCATAAAAATAATTAATTATAATAGTAAATGGTATTGTTTTTACTGAAGTTTGGTTATAAAAGAATTGTATTGACACTATAAAGGATTTAAATTTACATCTACTTGTCACATTCCTTTTTCTTCCTGATCAATTAAAATTATTTTTCGAGTTTGATGAAATTGTTTAATAAATTCTAAGAAACAATTTTTTTTATAACTTTTGTTCATCACTCACACTTTACATATCTTTTATTTTTCATCAACTAAATTTTTACTGCGAACTGCTTTGATGCTGATAGTAAAATAATAATTTTTATCAGTCATTATAATATAAATTACATTTATAAATTATTAAAAGTTAAGTTTTTTGTATTAGTTTAAATTTTCTTAGTATCGTTACACTTAATTAGTTTTAATTACAAATCCACTCAGGCCGCGGCGACCACCTCTCTTCGGGACAATTTTCACTTTTTACTGGAAGATATGGAAAAGTATTCGCCTTTACTCTTAGAAAGGGCACTGAAAAAATTTTTACCGCCCACGTGTTCGCCCCAGCACTCGTATAAAATTCACCGGAAGTCTTTGAGTCTATTGCCTCGGTCTCAGAAGATTAAGGACTTCCCTTTTCTTCCTTTCAACTTTCTGTGGGAACTGAGCTCGGTTTCGGTGGGTTTTTCTGTTGTTCGCAGAGAAAATTCGCTATTAATTTTCAGATTACCGTTTTCTTTACTTTCCTGTTCTCGTTCATTTCGGCCGCTGGACGATTCGGTGTTTGAGTTTATGTTAAAGTCAGAAAAGTTTATTCCTTTTTGTTATGAAAATCAGATTGATTTGAGCGGTTGCCGACTGTCTCCCTCTCCCCCTTTTTCTAAAGAAAAATATTTAACTGCTTAGGTTATTGGCTAACAATAGTGACTGATTTTATTTTTGACAACAAAACGTACTTCTGTACTCATCGTTTTTTTTGTGTAAGTGGGAATATAAAAAGGCTTAAAAACATTTTAGAGTAATAAAGTTCACCTTTTTTAGTGAGTTTATAATTTTTTATAAATATATATACTAAGTCGAAGTATATTTGGCTCGTGTAACTTCTGTTGCACTTATTCTGTTACACTACTTTTTTACAGTTTATTTATATTTACTAGCTATTAATTATAATTCAAATTGAGAAAGAGTATTATTAATATGTCATTTACTAACTTTATAAAAAAAGAAGCCAATAAGAGTATTTTGCTTCATGAATTTCTAGAATAACGATAACTGTTCCAGAAAACTATTCATTTGGAGCTGTACTTGCTGGTAGTAACTGGGTGAAAAATGCAATGAATGTTACGAACCACAAAAAACGGCGCATAATCGTAAGCTGTTATACTTAAATGATCCAAGATGGAAACAACTTAAAAGTAAAACATTGTCTACATTTGTACCCAATGAACGCTGATCTTACCAAGAAAAAAATAATATAACCGGAAAGCAATGAGGAACACGTGCCACACGTGCTTGGAACATGCGGAGAACACATGATAAGAGTATGTAGCGGACGATATCCAATACTTGTAGTTTATTCCATCGATTGTTTAAAACAAAAATAAAGAAAGAATCCCAACGCTCTTTTTTTTTTATTATTAATAACCCCTCAGTAATTGGTCGAAAATGCAATGTAGCGAAGTGAGCGGCTGACAATGAGACATATTAACGTCCTTTACGAACAAATGGATGATACTAACTAAAAAGTTTGTTTTTCCTTCGTCCGTCCACGAACGGCCAATATAGCGGTGAGGAGGCGCGATATCCCGCTGGTTTAGTATCTGTTTAACTTCGCTTAAACGCTCTTTCCAGGCTATATGTATTAAAAAAAAGAAACAATAATACTGTAGGTAATTTGCTTGTTATAAAGTATACTGTATTAATGTTAAATGTAAAATAAAAGTTTATAAATGTGATAATAATTAGTATATGATATCTCTTATAGTTAAAAAGTGAAAGTTCAACAACTTTCTAAGGGCGTTTCTATAATTATTAAATTAAATTATATAGAACGTACGACTTGGTAACTCCTCCGTTATTGGATGAGGCAAGGGGCGCTCCAAAACCTCTAGGATGGCACTTTCACTGGTAAAATCGGGAAAAAGTTTACTGATAAACTTTGCTATTAAAAAGTTGGTGCCTGCAAATATAAAAGTTTTTGTATAAGTACTGCAGTACAACAACAAAAAAATTCATTATATAGCAAAATAAAGGCTAAAGAGATTAACATTTCAGATATTATAAGCAAAACAAAATCATAAACATTATAGAAAGAAGTTCATAACAGTTATTTACTTAAGAAAATGTTTATAAAGAAAAGCAAAATTATGTAATATTATGTGCAGGCCATCTAAATTTAAAAAGAAGCGAATGTTCATGATTTTGGTCAAAAAAAAAATTAATAGTGCGGTATTATAAAATAATAAGCATTATATAACCAGTACTATTAATTTTATTTGAGATATACAATAAAATAGATAGTGAAAGTAAAGCTGCAATGAAACTAGTTCACATAGCAAATTTACGGAAACACCGGTAGGCTACTTTACAAAATTACTGGTCAACCGCATATCTTTTAATGCCTCTGGTTGTTCCATAATGGCTAAAGCTCCACCACTTAAATCACTCTATATAACTGATAAAAGGATCGCATTTGTACACGTAACAAAAGTGTTTAAAGGCGAAATCACTTTCAATAAATATATTTGAATAGCTCTCATTAGATCTCATTAGATCCTTTTAGCCTTAACAGTCACATGGCGATAATAAGTAGGATTGACCCCAAAATATTTTAAACATTACACTTTATACAAATTAAGCGCTAATCGCAAGGTTTCATCATGTTTTTCGCAGGCCTCGCGTGTCTTTCTTACATAACAAAGAAACCTCGTTCATCATTGTCCTCGATTCGTGCAAAGATAACAACTTTATTACTTTTACATATTATATTTAATTATATGTTTACTAATTTTATTTATACCAAACCGTACGTAGTGTAATTTATAAATTAAATAATTTTGTTATCCCAAAAGTTCATATTATTATTTAAAATTATATTTAAAATATTTTTCCACCAGCAAAAAACTTTCCGTTATCAAAATTTTTAGAGTAAACCAGAATTTTGCAAGTTGCAATAATAATAGTAAACATTGTTATAATAAACAGAAAACATACGAAAGTCGGTGATGTTTATAACAAATATAAAAGTTTACTTAATTACTTTAATAATTTTCTGCCTCGTCAAAATTGACTATCACCGCAATGATTCGTACTTGTATAGCACTTTCATATAACTTTTGCTTTTTATTATTGTTGCAAAAACCAATTATTATATTTCTTAGGGTTATAAAAAGGACTCATTGTTGGCTAAGCAAACTATCGTTATTTTTTGAGCCCGAAAGCCAAGTTCAACTTTATTAATTTTTTTTTTTAGACTTAACTTCTTTATGTTTCAATCTCCTTAAAGTAAATGCAGAAGTTGTTCTCCTATAACATTTTGTAGAAGTCTAATGCTTTTCAGTTTTAAAAAAACTAATTAGTCTTAATGTATTTTGCTTTCACCAGTTATTAAAAAAAATAATAAAAAATTTTTTAAGGAAAAAATTTATAATTGTGACAATACATACTGATACGTAACGAACGACTAAATTTTAACAAGCATTAAATGAAGGTAGCAATGACATAGAAAAGGTAAACAATAAAACTATATATAAGAACGAAAAATAAGCAAAGAATCCACAAAATAAAAAATTATTTGATGTAGAAAAAGAATTATTAGCGCTAATAAGCAATAAAACAAATAAAATGCATAATACGATTGGATGAAAGAATGTTGAGTTGGGAAGACATTACTTCATCCCGCAAGCGACGAATGATCTTTATAGGACCGCGAAACTGAAGGAGTCGATTCGGAATATCAAAATCAAAATTCTCTTTAATAACTTTGGCAGTGAAATTACCTAAATATAAATATTAGCATCGAAAATGATGAAAAGTTACCCGAACAAACCCAACTTGTAAATATGAAGAAATTAAAAATTCTTATTAATAGAAATAGGTATTATATATAATGAAAAAGTAAAGTTGTTAAAAAATTAAATATGCTTAGAACAAAAGTAAAGCGATAAGAGGAATGTTTGTATACCCCAACAAGGTAATTATAATATTTTTAAGTCTGTAAATACGAAATAGGATATTTTAAATAAGCTATAATTAAATGTTTGTTTTATAATAATATAAACAATTTATTATTAGCCCATAAAAATGATTATGCTCAAAACTTTTCATGAAACGTTTGTAAAAGGATTTGGAATTTCTAAAACTATTTTTAATTTATAAATATTACTACTATTACCATAACTTTGACTACTTACTCAAACACGCGGGCATCCTAGCTTGAGCCAGTAGGATTACATCATCAAAAGGAGCATCCAATATAAGACCACCGAGTTCTTTTTGAAAAAAAGCAGCACCGCCAGTAGCAGAAACGGCCCCTTTTATTATTATTGTTAAGTACTAACAAGCGAGTTAACTTTTACTTCCATTACTTCTAATAAATACAAAAAGTATGTGCTCTTATTAAGAATATATAAAAGGTTACAGAAGTTATAAAATATATGTAGAGTTTTACCAATAATTTAAAAGCTCAGAGAAGTAATAATAAATTTCAAATAATACGAAATCTAAGCAAAGTATTCTTGGAGTATATAATATATATAAATACTTAATGTAATATAAAAGGGCAACCTTTTTTAAAAATTAATAATACATAGTAAAATATCAAGAAATATATAAATTTTTTTAAGTAAAGAACCTTAATTTTTATAATAATAATAAATATTTAAAGTTAAATAATAATTAAAATTTTAAATATCAGACGGGTTATAAACTTTTGAAAATATAATGAAAAAGTTTACTGAGGCACAAACTTTCTCAAGTAAAAATGATGATTTATTAAAAATGATTAGCACAAAGTAAATTTTTTATTATACAAGTAATAAGTTTACATATTAGCAATTTAGTGAAAGATAATATATATAAATTTAAAAAAAAAAATAAATATTAATATCTAAACATTTTTTAAACAGAACAAAAAAGAAAAAATATAATTATCTAACAGTGTGTAAAGCCAAAAGTTAACCGAAAAATAAAAAGTTTAGTACTAACAAATAACATAAAATAAATAAAAGCGAAAAAGTACTCCATTGAAGTAATAATAAAAAAGGGTTTTATATATCAAAAAGTTAATATAAAATAGTCCTATACAACAAAAAAACAAAATATTAAAAATAAAGTTTTACATATACGAACAATGTTAGTGTGAAGTAATACCGATTGACCAGCAATAGAGAAATACATCCGCCAAACTCCAGTTTAAGTGAAATGTGCAAAAATACAAAATCGAGATCAGCGCATTCGTATCGGATGCAGCAGATGGAAGCCCTCACAATTAATATATGTAAATAAGTTGTATTCGCAATTATAACTAATAATTGTAAAATAAGTATTGATAATAATATTAATAATAGATGATAAACTAATAGTAGAAAAAATAACTTGATTTACAATAGATTAACAATGAAAGCAATAATAATAATTACTAATATATAAAAATTTATTAATAGTAATTGTGACCGATAATTTATTTTTACATTATTAAAACTTTGATAGAATAATTAAGAAAGAAATAGTAAACAGTCACTAATAAAATTTATAATATTATAATAGTCAACCGGAGCTGCAGCCGTAGCCGGGACGATTATAACCAACCAATGAAAAGTCTTCTTGGACAAAGCACGTGGCGCAACTGTGTTCATAAAAAGAAGCGTTGCCTTCGCAGCAAACAATAAGCCTATTTCCGTTAGGCGTGCCCCGACGGTCGACAAATATGCAATCAATAAAATTCCCATCGAACGTGCATATTTTATAACGAAAAATATTCCCAAAGTGCTATTAAGCAAAAATATAAATTTTAAAAATAATAGTAATAACAATAATTGTAACTGAAGATAAAAGTTTTATCCTTCCTTGAAGTAGTGAAGAAGATAAAATCCATCTCAAAAAGTAGGACGAGCCCGGATAAAGCAGGGGCCGTGCCACTACTTTGAAAATAAATAATAATAATAATAATAATAATAATAATAATAATAATAATAATAATAATAATAATAATAATAATAATAATAATAATAATAATAAAAACCTTTTGCTACAATACGGCGAAAAAGCACAGAAAAGTTTTCTATACTATTACAAAAAATAGTTTAGCAATAAGCTTCTGCAAGTAAAATATAATAATACTTTGATATAGTCTTATTTTTATAATAAGCAGGAAAAAAATCAGTATTTTTCCACATTATAAGCAATAATAAAAATTAAAAAAAATTTACTCAAATTTTTCGTTTACTTTATTTTATATAAATCTGCAAAAGTAAAACTTTTGCATAAAGTTTCTGTTTTATTACGCGAGAGACTATTCATATTTATTTATAATAAGTTTTAAATTATTTTCGCACAACTTAAAAAGTTGACTACATAAAGGAATAGTAAATCTAATTTAAAAATAATTTGGAAATAAACTTTAAAATTATTATTAATTTCCTTATACCAAAATTTTGTATTAAAGATAAAATAAAAGCTAAACGATCTGTAAAAATAAATCATAATAAAGTAAAAAATTATAGATCTTTAACCAAATAAATTTATTTAAGTAACTCATAAACATCGTAAATAATAAATTAAAAAGTATCTTGTAAAATTTAAAGTATTAAACGTTTTAAAAAAATATTATTTAATTTAAAAATCCTGAAGAAAACCAAAATATTATAGCCACCTGAAAATTTAAAATTAACTGTAAGTAAAAAAAAATTATTTCAAACACCTTTTTTTTAAAACATAATTGGATTAAAACTTATTTTAAATATATTTATAAAAAAGTAAAAAAATAATTTAGATCAATAAATTTAATTAATACCTTCATATGAAAACCTAATAATTTTTAATTAACTTACTAAAAAAAGTGGAGTTAAAATTTATTTATTAAAACTTAAAGCAGCATTAATGGATGAATAGTTTTATAAAAAACCATAAGGTCTTTACATTATTTAATTGATTATTTAAATATACTAAAACTTTAGAGAATCAAGATAAACAAAGCTAATAAGAAAATTATTTAAGTTTTTTATTAAAAAAAGTTTATGAAAGAAAACAAAACGAATTACAAATCATTAAAGTTAAAAGTATGTATAAATAATTTAAAAGAAAAATCTTATTATTTCAAAATAAATATTACTACAAAGAAGTGTCTCTGCAAAAGAAAAAATATTATTAAGGCTTTTTAAGTTTTTACAAGAATGAAATAATAAAAAATTTTGAAAAACAAAAAAAAATAATAATTTGTAGTCTTTGAAATTTAAGAACATTCAGATAAATATTTTTTCCAAAAATTATAAAATTTTTAAACTTTTTATATTTAAAATAACGGTTATAAGTTTTTAAAAGTTTAGCTATTTAATAGCTAAAAGTTTTAACTTATTCCTTCGCGATTCTAAAGTTTCCAATATTTTCTTATCTTCTAGATCGCACGTAAAGTCCACTGGCTTATAAGAAAAATTAAAACCATACAATTCAAGCTCCTTGAAGTTTCGGGAGTCAGCTTTGTGACTCGACATCTAGGACGTTAAATTTATAAAAATTACAAACAAGTGGAAATTTAATTAGGTTTTACTTTGTCCCAAATTAGCATAAAATAGCGATAATGAGGATTTGAGAATCTGCCTAAAGCTAAAAATGAATTAAACTTTGAAAAATTAAAAAATATCTATATAAATTTTAAAGCCGTGTTTTATAAAAAAATTAAAAACTGAAAACACTTCGTCAAAAATTGTTCTTATTTGAAAAATTAGTTATTATTTAAAAAAATGTCGTTATTTTAAAAGTAAAAGTGAAATAATATAACAAATCTTCATATATTGTAAATACCATCACACAGACGTGCTAACCCATACAGAGTTGTTGAGACTTCTATCAAGTATATATAAGAAAACCTACTAAGCCACAAGTAAAAAACCAAAAAAACTGAAAAATTAATAAGATATGAGGAAATTTTCTCCAATAAGTTCAAATGGTATACATTTTTCCCAGTTTTTTTCTAAGGTAATATTGGTAATATGTAACAAATACAAATAAAAAATAAATAAATTCATAAACTAAGTATATAAAAGCTTACACATATTACGTAATCCAACTGTGGGTAGTAAAAACTTTTTGTAAAATTTTTAAATTGGTAAAAAGTAAAGGGCGCTATACACATTGAGAAGTTTCGTAAAAGCTTTTATAAAAACTGAATATCAAGCTAAAGAGTAGAAAAAGTTAAAAGCCTGAAGGACATTGCACCTCGCTAAAAGCATGAAAAGGAAATAAACGTGCCACAGACAAAGTTCTCATTAAGACCTATGAGATATTAAATTTAGCCCTTTATCGGCAAACTCTGGGCCTAAAACAGATTTGTTTTTTATTTGCGGAATCATTTCAGATGTTGAAACTATACTTTAATGTCCAGTATTTGTTTTCAAAATTTTGATACTACATTTTTGAAAAAGGGTGGTTACTATTTTTCCTGGTGACCGTTTAGCTGAAAATACAGGTGTAATGTTTACTGGTAAGAATTTTTTGGCACACTTATTGTTTTGCAAATTGCCCACTTTTTTATGTTTTGTTGGTTGCTGCCCAATCCGTTAGGACATTGTACTCGAACTTACTAGAGATTGTTTTAGAGACCGAGCCTATCGTTTAGGGTCAATTACCATAGACCTACTCTTGCAAATTGAACCTAGGGGACAAGTGATATATATACGTAGTAACCAGTAGCCTATAAGGGGTTAAAAAAGCAGAACGCGAGGGTCTAAGTTTTTAAAAGATAGTCAGGCGTTATCGTTAGCGTTGGAGTACAAACTTGTAATGTAAATATTTATTTTAAATTAAGGGTTTGGGGAGTTGGAAACTTTTCTTGAAAAAATTTTGCAATAGTTTCAGTTAGGTCACATTCTGTAACAAGTTAAATACATAAATTATTGTACCGGGTTGAGAGTTTGTGTACCAGCTTCGCGGGTATAAACGATTGCCGCGTAAACTCAAGGCTGTGGAGGTGGGTCTCCCCTTTTGGGTCTTGATAGTTGTTTACATAACCCAGTTCTCTTGTTAGCAGTTTTTAATATACGTGTTATGACGCTCCTGCGAAGCTTCTCAGTATAAAATTTTGTATAGCTTAAAGCTGCTCTACGGAGGGATATTAAGGTAAGAAAAACTACCTCACAGACGCGTTAAAAGTTAGTGCTTTATAATTAGATGAATTTTTACGTCGGGGAAGTTGGTTGTCTATCAAGATATATGGGTTGTGTTGTTGGGGAGTTGGCTCTTTGAAGTTCTCCGCCATGTCTATGGTAAAAAATAGAGTTTCCTTAAAAAAAAAAGAACAGTAGAATAGATTTATTATTGTTGAAATCCTTGAGTCGTACTTAGAGAATTATAAAGTTGTGTGGGGTAGTAGAAACAACCAAGTTTTTTACCTTAGTAAATTAGTTTAGTATTATAAACTTTTACCGTAAAAAATTTATAACCCAAGAGCCGTGCTTAATATTATCTTATAACTTAACTGGTGTTTACACACTTATTAGTAGTAAAAATGATTCGTCCAGGTCCTGTGAAGGTAACATTCTCTAAAATAATTTAATCATAAATGTAAACCCTAAAATATCTCATATATGCTTCGTTAAAAGTATCATTAAAAATAGTACTGATGTCTACAAATGCTGCTTTGTTAAAAATGATGGGGTACCATAATAAAATAATTAGAATGTTCTTAATGAAATAGTCAAAGTATCATATAAGTTATAATATAATAATAGTTATCAAAGAATGTAATTATATATGAGAATAATAATAAAAATAGGAATCATGAAAATGAATAACTAGATGCTGATAACCTGACCATGCACAAGTTGCAAATGATAAAATTGTAAATGGTTCTTCTGGATGCTCTATAGTATAATAAACTTCGAGTACTCCAGTGAGGCATGAGTTAAGATGCAGCGACAACACTAATCAAAGACATACAGGTCTAAAGTTACCATTCGAGTAATTAGTGCTTCCGTGCACAACAACGTTCTAGCTCTAAGACGCTTTAAGTAAATTTTTCTAGGCCTTATATAGGCATCCAATTACTACGTGAGTGTAGACAAGATCCTAAGCTGCAAACTTAAGTACTTAATAATATTTGTGTTATAGCTCTGGTCAACAGGAAAAGTCGCGAGAGCGCAGTAAGTGATCATTTCCGCAATACTAATCACTCTCCCAGAGAATGGGACTATACAGTACTTTCCGCATTTTCGTTGTGTAATTACGGTGTCTAGGCTGGTCTTGTAAGATTATAAAAAGCGGTTTTTCTGGTGATTTAAACTTCTAACGGCTATTTTGAAAACGAGATTAATGCATTTTGATGTTTTCTAAGATTAGTGAATATTTGCTTGTTTAAGGAACCCTCTGTTTTACTTGTGTTATTCGGGGTAGGCGTAAAGCAAATCAATAGATTTCTTTTCGCTTCCTTCCTACTCCCGCATTAGTTGACGTTGGCACTATGCGTACCGAGGAGCAATCATTAAGAGTTGTATGTTATAAAAAATTGAAAATTGAGAGTCCGTAGATCTGATGTACATGGGTGGTTTAACTTGAATAATTTAATTTAATCTATAGTCATATTATTGGGCTTTTCCTGAAGAAAATATGTTATAAACAAAGGGATGATTATATCATTCAATAAAGATAAAAAGCACCATACTAATCAAAGTTAGAGTATGAAACCCAGTAATTAATAATAATAAATAAAGCAAACTCAAGGCTAAGAATTAGAAGATAAGCAGACAATATTTGAAAAGAACAGGCATCCGTAAAAGTGAACTTAAAGGATTAAATAGTAAACTGAGAAAGGAGAACGGTCAAGGACAAAAGTAGAGCGGTGATTCACCAAATGGAAGGTTTTTATAAACCCATATATATTCGTGCCAAAATAGGAACGATGAGGTATAGATAGATTCTTTCCTCACAACAACTTAGTCTCTTAACCAAAATCTTATCTACAAAAAAATAAGATCTCACATTTATCTCCGTTATCAAAATATGTTTTAGGGGCCCATCTCTCAGGGGTACTTTCTTTTCATTACCAAAAATTTGCCAAGAAACCAGTTTTCACCACAATTACGTAATTTTTGTAAATTTTTAGGTGCTCCCATCGTGAGTTAACTATTTCCTCATATACCACCGTTCCACAAGAAAAAAAAAAAAATTTAATAAAAAGGAAGCCTCAAAATTTTCCCCAGAGTTTTGTTGGTATGAACTACAAGGAGGTACCTTAAAAGGAGCACAAAAAGTAGATAGGAACCCATGGGGGGCTGCCCAGTTGAAAAGCTTTTCTACAAGGCCTTAAGGCTTAATAATGCGATGGTTTAGTAGGATCCAGCCACCCATTTAGTGGTGGCTTTTTCCTTACTATAGTAGTAACTATAATTTTCTTGTGCCATATCAAATATTAGGTCGCCATGAAGGTCTTATACTCTTTTACTCTCAATTAAACTAGTAGTATTGTGAAGGAAGGCTCTTCTAAATATGTGTTGAGAAAATTATAGTGGGTAATCTTTGCCAAAGGTAATATCGTAACCCAATTACACTGGGAATAGTTTACCGAAAAACTTAGTATCGTGTCCTAATACTTGGATTACTATTTTCATAAAGCGATTGGAGTCTGGATGGTATACAGAAGGTAAGCACATCTCACATTCGAACGACCTCAAAAAATGTTTACAGAAGCCAAACAGAAACTGGAGCCCCCTAACAGAAACAATAATAAAAAACCCATAATATTTTCACCACGTGAAAGAAAATTTATTACATGACTAGAAAACGTTGTTAAATGACACATTTTAGACAGTCAACTATTTACTACCACAACAGAGTCGAACTTCCGAAATGTGGGGCGGTCAAAAAAAATCTATGGACCCCAAAAATTATTGGGAATAGGTAAGGGTTGCAGTCGGCCCTGTGGTTTAAAATACTGACAGGTATTACGAGTCACTTTAATTCTTTAATATCGTTTCTAAACTCAGCCAGAAGAAATCTCGTTTAAGAACCAGTCTTAAAGATTTTAATAGGCGTAATAACCAACTTATATGGATTCGTGTTAGCTGTTAAAATAAGCACTTGAAGCTTATTAGAAACAAAAAAAAAATTTCTCCTTTATAATTAACTCAGCTTTAAGTGTTAAGCAGTTTGTATGAGTATAGTCACTAAAGAATGAGCTTTCAGTGAGAGTCTCTTTACCTATAACCTAAAAATAAATCGCATCTTCTAAACATTTGTACAAAGGTAATTTAATACCACTCGATAAGACCTTTAAGCCTATTCGGGACGATAAACTAAGGCTCGTTCTTTCCAGACTTGAGTTATATTTTAATATTATAATCGCTAAGGTCTTCTACCTAGGTAACTTGTCTGCGATTTAGTATTTGTTTCGAGATTTTTATAATCTGTAATAACCAAAATTACGTGCTCATAAGGTAAAATATACTGGGGTAAGTTCTAGAAATCTTCACTATAGCCCGCAACTCTTTAACAATAGCGTGATATATAAACAGGACGCTCGTACACTTACTAGGAAAAAAGTGGATGTAATGTTTCCTTGTAAAGTTAACTTAGTATGCAACCATAGTTGAAGCACTTGCGTCAAAACAAAACAGAAGTTTTGTTTAAAAATTTGCTACTTCTTTTTGTCAGAAGTTTACATAATTTTTTGTTACTTTTAGAAGAATCGTTAGTGGTCTAATAAAATTTTATAATAAAAAAGTCTTTCTTATAGAAATTTTAAAACCAGTAAACGGTTTAAGTTATCAGATTGATACACCACTTCTATTACTTATTATATACTAGTTAACTTTTTCATTCAGGATTGCTTTAATTATGTTACCGGTGTTTTAGTACTTCCGTTAATTATTGATTTAAAAGCAAGTTGCTTCTATCGAAAAATTTTCTAATCTTTTCAAAAACTTCATGGAAATTATTAATAAAGTTATTTTTATCTAGCCATATAGACCAAAAAAATAATAGTTAATAACTCTAAAACCAACTCAGAGCAAATGATTGCATAAGACGGCGAGCACCAATAATAAAAAAAGGATTGCCGTACAGCGAGGAAAATACAAAGTAGTTCTGAAAACTATATTTTA